GTGAGCCCAGGGGCCCCGTCAGACTCCTGGTAGGTGACCAGGTAACGGAACCACAGTGGACCAGGTGCTGTAGCTTGGTGCACTTGACCCAGCTCCTCTGTCAACATCAACCACCGCCCCTGAAGACGTCAACAAGCACACGAGTGGAGCACACTTCTCAAACACCAGGGGAACTCTGCTGGGCTTACCTGGGTCCTGCAGGTGACCAGTGAGGACGGCACCAGTAGGATAAGGCACTTCACTCCCATAAAGAAGAACTTTAGGATCAAGTTGGTGATGCCGACGGCCCAAAGAGTCTCCCAGAAACCCAGAGGCTCGATGGTCGGACTGAGGAAGACCAGGCTGAAGGAGGACACTCGGGTTACTACCACACATTTACAAGAAGTTATACTTTGACCATTTAGCTCATAACAAGTGTTGTTTGTTTGTTTGTTTGTTTGTTTGAGTCAGATCATTTTAGGTTCTCTAAGATGCAGAGAACAAACTGCAACAATAAAAAAAATTAACAAGATTAAAAATAAAAAAAAAGAAATATTTTTGTTTGTAATGTTCTATTACCAGAAAAATTACACCATTTTTTTAAATAAATATTTTTAATTATTTCCTTAAAAACACATTTTTACCAGTCTCTAAAATGTTCACATTGTTTTTCTGCATTGATGGCGTTCAGCTCATTTAAAGCCTCGCAGGTCCATAGAAAGTCCTTTTTAATGATCTGCTTGCTGAACATAGTTATCTACAACTAAACTGGGAGTTCACTTGTTGCACCAGACGGTGCCTGCTCTGCCATTAAACTGCAACTGGGAGAACTTTCTGATGAAGCTTTGTCCCTGGAGCATCACTGAAAACAATAACTAGTAGGTTTTTTTTTTTAATCTGAGGCACAGCTCAAGACTAATGCACGGTGTGAACAAGTAAACCTGACATGTTCGTTCATGCGTTGGTCTCAATGAGAAGACGCTAGCCCGCCTTCAGGTAGTCCACTGTGACACTTCTGACACGCTCAAACAAACATTCTTACTAGAAAGTTCCTGGAGAGACTTTGAGGGGCCACGTTGCGGCCATCTTTAAGTTTTGATAGTTCTGTGTGTTGGGGTTCGCTCTCAGCTGCCACTAAACCAAATCTCAGCTCAATATGACAACAAATCAATCAGTTAGTCATTTTTTTATTTTGATCGCTCTCCGCTGCCATTGATGATGTCATGTCTCCTCTCACGGTCAGCGCTCGTCTTAGTGGCTGTCACGTAATTTGAACTCTGGAAACTTGGCAAAGCTGATAAAACATTTTTAGTCCAAGAAGCACTCGTTTAAACTCGAGCTTTACAACGGTTTTGTTTCCGTTTTATACGTTGCTTTGTACTTTATTAGTTTATTTTCCTGTCAGGCATTTTGTAACTGTTGTCTGAGGAAGGTTTATTATCAAACTTTTACTTTTAAGTAAGGTTTTATTTTACAAACCATTCTTTTTTTTTTTTTACTTTACCGTTGTAAACAGAACCAAATGAAACTTGTACAAGTTCATCGCTGGATGTTTGTCTACAACTGAACCAGAAGAGGAACCAGAGGGAACTGGCAGCACAAAACTAAGAGACAGAACCGTCAATATTACTGGGATAAAATTTGGTGTGGCAGTAGCTGAGACACAGAACACACACTCTGAGTGTGCACGAGATCGCACAATGTTGATTTAATGGGTTGAAGTCATAACATCATCATTGCTCATCATAAGATGATCTCAGTCCAAAACTCTGGTAAGAAATGCAGCAGGTGAAACGTATTCCTTCAAAAACGGCCTTTTCAAGCTTGTTTTGCAGCTTGAACGTTGAAAGATTCTCAAAAATTGCACCTTGTAGTGAGTTTCGTTGCCATTTTATTATCTTCCATCAGTTTACCTGGTGGACTTGAGGATACTTTTGTGAGCAATATAAAAATAGACATATGCAAAGGCTTACCGTTGGTCCTTTGAGCATGTCCATTCAAAAACATGAGACAATTATTCTGAAATTTGAAATGTTGCATTTTGGTTCCATCGTGTTACTTTGCATATTTTCCATCACACCATAATAAACTCAGCGGTGACTTGTGTAATCAGTGGATTTACCAGTAGTGCAGTGTCTCGCTGAGAAAAGTGTAGTAAAGCAGGAGGGTGGAGGAGCTGAGGAAGAGCAGCAGCCATATGCACTGCAGCTTTGAGTGACGGCCCTGTAGGTGCGCACAGGTACGAACAGCTTTCAGAAACTTTAACAACGTTCAGAGAATAAAAACAGCTCTGGACATACCTGAAGAAAGACTTGGCTTTGAATGTTTTTATTCACATATAAAAAGGTTGTAAAGAGTCCAACTCCAACTGCCAAACCTGGTGGAGGAGGAGAAAGAGTGTGAGGGGGAAGGGTTCTTCACGGGTGGTGGTGCTGGTGTATTCTCCTCACCTAGAGCGTGTTGGACGACCAGTTTGGTGCACAGTATGACGAGGAAAGGAAGACTCTTTTGGAGCCAGCGGAGAACACAGCGAAGTTCAGACAGGGAGGCGCTGGGCTCTCCTGAGTCCACATCAGACTCGGGGGGGTCCAGCTCGGACTCTGAATTGGAGCGGTGCCGTGACCGATTCTGCCCATGTGCATGCGAGTGTGAATGGGAGCCGAGCCTGCATCTCCTGGATGCAGCGCCTCCACTCGTCTCCCCGGGGCCTCCGGTCATGGATACCCGCACCTCAGCGCTGTCCGCCGCGGCGGCAGGGACGGGAGTCCCCGCGTGGAGCTCTGCCTGCAGGTTTAAGGACAAACCGTGTTGTGCGTGACCCGCCCGCTCACCTGAGTTTGGCTGCATTACAGTCGGAGACTCCCTCGGTTTCAGTTTTCTTCTGGAATCACTCCTGTAACACAAGCACAGACGTCAGGTTTATCTGCCAGACACAGTTTTGTTTCAGTTTCGATTTGGGGGAGTGGTGGCGCAGAGGTTAGAATGTGATCGGAAAGTCGCAGGTTCAACTCCCGGTACCGTCAACATCAAAATGTGGGTGGAAAAGGTGAAACACCCACACCTGCCTCCACCCCACTCTGGGCCCTTGAGCAAGGCCCTCAACCCCCACCATCTGCTCCTAAACAGGTCTCTCTTGAAAATGAGTTCTCGCGACTCAATGAGACTACCTGGATAAATAAAGGCTTAATGAAAAAATATATATATCTCGGGTCACCTGGTCGGAAGCGACAGTTCTTATATTTAATTTATCTACTAAAACTAGCAAACAAAAACTGAACTAAACTTTAAAAATAAACCGAAGCCACACTGGTCCTGACTTTCCTCCAACCTGCGCTACATGCAAGTATTCACAGGTATTCACAGGTGATAAAACCAGAGATGTAGCAGCTGGAGCTAGCTGTTAGCATAGCAGCCGACTGGCACGTCAAATATAAAGCTCCAGCTCACCTGTCATTCTGCACCCGGAGTTTCATGGTAAGCTATCGGTCCCCATCTAGAACAGGAGCCAGGTCACAAAACAAAACAAAAAGAAACGAAAAAAATAAAACTAAGCTGTTAGCGTTTGAGCTAAACTCGACAGTTCAAAACATTTTGGACGTTACGATAACTGACGTCACTGTCTCCTTGTTTTACGGCATCACGGCGTACAAGGGAGACACTACCGCCATCTAGTGGAAACAGTTGGTACATGCATGCCATGAAAATTCAATTTAGTTTATTTCTACAGCTCCAAGTCAAAACAGAATTTGTCTCAGGGCACTGTACAAAAATATTCACATACATTAAATAAAAAAAGTAAAATTTATCTATCTAAGGAATCCAGCAGATTGTGGTGAATCTTCACCTTGTCACAGTCTCCTCTTCCATCCTGAGCAAGCACAAAGGAGACAGTGGAAAAGAAAAACTCCCTTTTAACAGGAAGAAACCTCCAGCAGAACCAGGCCCAGGACAAGTGGCCATCTGCTTCCACCGGCTGGTTTGAGAGGACAGGAAGGAA